TTTAATCTCACTTGTAATTTGGGGAATTCAAAATAATAAATAGTACTGTTTTGTATACAAACTATTAACAAAAATTAAAGTGTGACAACAGCAGACACTGTTAAGAGTATAGAAAAATAGGAATGCTTATGCACCACTGGTGTGCATAAATTAGTACAACCAGTCTGGAGAATAATATCTAATAACATTGACAATGTATAGCCCCTATAACTCAGCACTTTCTCTTCTGGGAATGTAATGTAGAGAAATTGAACCCAATCCCTACAATCCCTATTAACTTCAGTTTTGCTCTCAAAAACAAGATATTAACGAATATTATACCTGTTTCAGTGTTACTTATAAATCTGATTTAATAGGCTACTCTTGCTATTTTTCTTCTGCCAAATCTTACAAACTAAGAAATAGTCTGATTTTTTTGATTCTGGGGCTATGCTTATAAATTTGGCATTACCCAAAGTGCTAGTCTTGAAAAAACATTTGAGGTGGTGGTGGAATCAAGAAGCTAATCTTTTATAGACACTTAGTCCATAAATAGTCAGCAGACTTTCTTTGGGCATCTAATTCTGGTCACTGTTCCTAATATTGATTATTTTCACTGAGTTGTAAAATAAAGTTGTAATGAAAAGTTTTATTCTTTGGAGATTTGAAAATTTGCTTCACATGAGTCATTTTCCTTCCAGGCTCTAAATTATCTTGGTATTCAGCCTACAAAGGAACAACACCAAACCCTGAGACAGCAAGTACAAGCAGACTCAGAGGGGACAGTGGCTTTTGGAGGTAAATTATTAGGTTCACCCTGTTGTATCATCACAGAAGCTTGGTCAAAGAGTTATTGTGACCCATTTTCATTAAAAGTGCTTGTTTATTAGAAGGAGAGAATGAAAACCATATCTATTTCAGGTTTCTTAATCAGTACTCTAAAAGTTTATCTAGAGTTACTTGCCTAGCTGGGTCAGCCAAAAGAAGAACTTTATTAAAACCTTTCAGCTCTAAAATATTATTCTATCATATTCTTTTTCATTTATGCATAAATGTTGCTTTAGTAATAACAAAAGAAACTACAAAATATAGAAATCCTAGTTTCACTACTGTGAGATTAATTCTAATTCTTTTTTTAGCAATATAATATATA